GAAGAATGAGAAGCTCGACAGTTACAGCATCTCCAATTCAGAAGATAAAATGAAGAGAACAAATGTTCAGACAAAGTGGAAGGAGCCACCTAGAACAGAGGCAAAGTATTCAAACTCGGACGATGATCTGAATGCTCTCTTAAAGGTGGATCTATTTTGTGGAAATTTGAGAACTTTCACTTAGCCTGAATGGGCCTCTGATTGCTTGATGTTTAATTTTTCAGGAAGAGGAAGATCTTGTGAATGCCCATCGGAAACAAGTGGAGGAAACAATGGACATTGTTAAAGAGGTATGTGATGAACGTAAATTTGGTGGCTTCTTGCATACGTGTTGAAGGGGTGTTTTTTGGTAATATCAATAGCTTTAGGTCTTCACTATGGGAGTTGAAGTGGATGTATATTCTGATGGTTTCATGGTGATGATACTGATTAAACCTGAAGTCCGTAGTTGGAAAAGTGTTTCTATAATTACTTTATGTCAATCTTGGAGTCCCATAAGGGTGCTGGCAAGTACCTTTTTCCGTGGTTGTGTGTTTGCTTGTCACCTTGTAGACGAGATAATTTTGCTTGGTAGCTGGTTATTCGTGGGGATTGAGAATTCTGTGGTTTCACAATTTCAGGAGATGAATCTATTAGTTGAGGCAGATCTACCAGGGAACCAGCTGGATGATTATATTTCTCGATTAAATGCAATCCTTTCCCAAAAGGCTGCTGGCATCCTGCAGTTGCAGAACCAGTTAGCTCATTTTCAAAAACGTCTTAAGGAGCACAATGTTCTTGTATCTTCTGGCCACTGAAAGCTCTAATTCAGTATGCATAGAAAGTTCAGATGCTATGCATATTTGCTTTGGACTGAGGTGCTGTTGTGGATCCATTAATGTGTTCAGTAATATGCACCCTTAGGTGTTAATGTGGAAAGCAGGTGGCTTGCAGAAGTTTGGAGTAGCAACATTCACATGATGATTTTCTTCAGAAGAGTTTTTGTAGCCTTCTGTTAATCTTGTCATTGTTTATTCATTTTCCATTTGAAAAGAAATATGCAATAGATGCTTTTGCAAGGCTATAAGGCTTTGTGTTGTAAGATTATTGATTGTTGATTGATCTGCTGAGCCGAAGAGGCATTTGCTATGTTTTGGGGGCTGAATTTGTTTAATCTGGTCCCGCCTACAAAGCCTATCATAGACGATTGGTGAAGGCTCTGGCCAACTCTGGTGTAATTGATTGCAAGGAGTTATACAACAGCTAATATTAGTTCATTTTGGCTGAGTTCCATAAGCCAGATGGGCACTTGGAATCTACTCAATTACTTGAGAATTGTGACTTTTGTATGTTGCTATTTAACGTGGAGCTTCCGAACTTAAGCCAAATCGCCGGTATTCCAATTATTCAACATTGTCATAAGTCCCAACTAGACCACTTAGACTTACAGTCTAATGGAACTATTTGGTCTCGTACACGATAGATGTGAGTTCAAATTTCACTGTTTCTCACTTAACTCTTTTGCTGATCTCATAATGTAACAGAAAATGTTAAAAACGTCATGCTTATATAAACCCTTTTCCCACCACCTATGGATTTGGGTTTCAGAATAACAAATAAATGAGGAAGATAATTATCAATTCCATTGTCGAGTTCAATAAGAGGACGAGAAAATGATAATGAAAATCAGTTAGATCATTAAGCTAGCGTTTGGCCATAGACTACCAAATTTGTTTTGAAAAATCTAATTTGGGTGAAGTTTGGTTTGAAGATGAAATTGTGTTTGGACATACGTTTTCAAAATATATTTCCCAATTTTATTTTGGAAAAACATGTATATAATTCCCAAGTTTTGGGATTTTGGCCCAAAATCAGCAATTGGAGTGATTTTGGGATTTGGGATTTTAAGTTTATGGCCAAACATGAGTTTTGAAAATAAATCCCAAATTTATTTTGGCAAAACTCATGGCCAAAAGGGTCCTAAGTAAATATAAGCTCCTATTCCCGAAAAGTCCCCCAACCCACCCACCCACCTACCTACACACACGAAAAAAATTAGAGTTATGGTTAATGAATTTATTACTGTAATTTAGACAGTGAGAATGGAACTTTTTGATATATTTACATACTTAGAGACTGTAGAAACCAGTACTTTCAATCACAATTTCATTGTTAAAGTATTCTGGCAAATTGTAATGAAAATCTGATTGGCTCCCTAAATAACACTCCTACTTGGTACTAATTTCATTCTTTTCGAGACCGAAGGTATTAGCCACCTCCTCAGGTGAAGTACCGTGATGGCAGAAATGTAAATAGAGGAAAGATAAAGGGCATTCTTATTAAGGCAGTGAGAGTTAGTTACGGTACGCAGCTGCTCAGCTTCACTGACAAGTAACAAACTACATTTCTATTACCAATTATTCCCGCTCTTCGTTTCATGCTCAAAACCGCCTCCTCCTTCTTCTTCTCAAAGCTATCAAAAAATCCTCTGCAAGTTTCATTTTGCCATGGATTTTACACGGAAATTGAGCTTTCTAGTGTTTCTCTTGTGTATTCTCATCTCTTTGCAGAACCAAGATGACATTGATACCAATAACAAGTTTTCTTCTCATGATGACAAGTATTGCTCCTTATCTGATGATGAATCTCAGTATATCTTCGATATTAACTCGTTTCCGCCTCTTCCTATGTTTGCTACTACTTCTCCTGTGGAGAGGAAGCTCCAGCAACAAACAGGGGTTCGGGAATCCCTGAAATACGATTACTACCATCAAACTTGTCCTCAAGCTGAGCGAATCATCCGATCAAGTGTTCGAGATCTTTTCAAAAAGCGACCACAGATTGCTCCTGCTTTATTGAGACTTGCTTTCCACGACTGCTTTGTTGAGGTCATTTTCCTTCAGTTTCCTAGAACTATTTGTATAATACTATCTTGTTCTGCTTGTGTTGGTATACATCAGTGCATTTTTTCGTTTTTGATTAATTATGCTATTTCAACTTAACGGCGTTTGAAGTATTTTGATTGTTGAGGTCAATTTCCTAAACTACTTCTCTTCTATAATCTCTTGTTTCTGCTTTTTTTATTACGTCAGTGCATTTTTTCATTTTTTGTTATGCAATTTAATTTAACTTAAAGTTAGGGTTAATGGTCAATGGCGAAGCGTGAGTTTGAAGTATTTTTAATTAGTTCCTGTAATTCTGTTTGATTTTTATCGAGGAAGTTTATTAAATTGAGCTTTGATAATTCTCTTATTATGATTTGGAATGCTTTCCGAGTTCCGATCAATGATAAAACAGAGGCGTTATGAGAGGTTTCTACCTTCTTTTTTTTGTGTGATGTGACTCAATTCTTTGGTTTTGTGGTTAACGTGACATACTAATTCTGCGCAACTAATTTTTAAGTTCTCAGCGTGAACTCTTCTTCTCGCATGCTTATTTGTTACTGATTGTGCTTACAAATGAGCTCTTTATCGTGAGAAATCAATTTGTTTTCTCTTTTCCAACTCAAATAGTATAGTGAATTCTCAAGGGTGAAGCATGAACTTGGAGGATGTTATCTTGGGAAAAATTCTTATTGTGCTTGTGAAGTCAAACTCGGTTGTGGTGACTCGTTGTTTTCTAATCAATCAATGTGAAATAACAGGGGTGTGATGCGTCAGTTTTACTGGACCCTGCTGAAGGATTTCATAGCGAGAAAGAATCTCCTCCCAACGAATCATTGAAGGGCTTCGACGTAATAGATATCATTAAATCAGAGCTTGAAGAAACTTGTCCAGGAGTTGTTTCTTGCGCTGATACTGTTGTTTTGGCTGCTAGAGAAAGTGTTATTTTGGTAATCGCTCTATCTTTCTTTTTTTTCCTTTTTTTTTTTTGTGAGTGTGTGTGTAACACAACTCACAAATGAAGAAACTTCCATTAATTTCAGACTGGTGGCCCTTTCTACCCGCTGAAAACAGGAAGGAGAGACAGTGTGGCTTCCTTCGGAGAAATTGCAACTTTTGAGCTTCCTAGTCCTCAGGATGATCTTTCCAAGATGATTGAGTCATTCTCTTCCAAAGGTTTCGACGAAAGGGAGGCAGTAAGCCTCTTAGGTATTGTTTTTTTACTACTAGTAGGAATCTTAAGTTCTGTGTACTTACACACAGATGAAATCTGGTGTTTATTTAGGTAGTGTTTGATTAGAGTTATTTGCAACAGGTGCTCACAGCACTGGAGTGATCCACTGCAAATTCTTCATCAACAGGCTCTACAACTTCAGCGGGACTAATAGCTCCGACCCTACTATGAACTCGGAGTTTGTCAGTCTCTTGAGGTCCAAATGCAACACAAATCAAGCCTCTTTGATGTCGCCCGCATCAAAAGCACAATCGCCATCCCAACTAGTTTCATCATCGCCTTCACCATCATCTATTATCGATGAATTAGCATCTGCACTGGTTGAGGAACCAGCAATGAAGATGGACTATGAAGGACCAGGAGCAAATTTTGGTACACTATATTACCGCAGTCTTCTACAAGGCAGGGGAATACTCTATGTGGATCAGCAGCTGACCGCAGGGGAAGAAACTAAAACTTGGGTCCAAGCTTATGCCTCAGATGTGTCTTTGTTCCACAAAGATTTCGGGCTGGTAATGATGAAGCTTTCCAACTTGGGAGTCCTCACTGCACCAATGGGACAGGTGCGCAAAGATTGCCGGAAAGTTTCCTGAAAAAGATCAATGGTTTGATCACTTGTTTAGCCTATTGCAATTTTGGTTTTTGGTCCCTCTATCATTGAACTGCCTCTTCTCAGTTCCACTTACTCGTTTCTTGAAATTTCTGTCATATCATAGTGCATAGTAGTTGTAAGTGTACTGGTTTTGTTTGTACGAATTGGACGGGCTTACAAGACACAAATCTGTCAGTATTAGCTTGGTCACTTCTCTTAATGGCATATTCGAGATCTCATTATGGTCAATCAGTAGGTCAGATTGTCTCTTAAGAAAGCACATTCCAGTAAAAATGTCTATTGACCAGAGTTATACTTTGAATACTGTATCATATTACACCAACAAAATAGTAAAGAAACACACATTCCTGGATCTTTTAATTGATATGAAGTGAATAACAATTAGCAAACAGGAAGACAAGTAAACGATAGGAAATTGCATCACCACTCACAATCTCAGAGGCACACACAAAGGTATACTTGTTTGTTTTAGAGCTTGAGAGGACCAAGTCTTCGCATTGAATTGTTGAGACTGCCTGATGGTTTTGGAATTGAGAACTCGGTGTACATGTCCAAGAAAAATCTGTCAACAATGTCAACGTAAACTGGGCTGTTTAGCAAAGAGTAGTAGTGGAGCACTTCTTCTATATCTAGCTCATGATCCACGTCTTCCCTATCCATCATTTCTAATTCCTCCATCTTCTGCAGCATCCTAAGACTCCCTTTACTTGTGCTTCGTGTCAAGATCTCTCTCCCTTTCTTCTCCTCTTCCTTTCTCTTTTCTCTTTCTATGTCTTTCATACCAAACCGCACTGCAATTTTCCTCTGGCTTTCGCTACGTTCTCCTTCAGTAATCCCTTGAGATTTCTTTGTACTTTTGCCCGCATTCTTTCTATCAAGAATGTCATTATGATCAAGCCTATGCCTTTGTTGATAGTAGTTCCGGTATAAATCATCCAACTGTGGAATGCTAGACTTTGAGATTCGTTTGCTACCGGAGAAAAATGGATTGAAGTGACGAGCAGCTTTAGGTAGCTTGTGGTGACCTCCAAAGAGAAAAGACTTCAGATTACGGGGAGTTTTGTGGAGGAAATTCTTGGTCTTCTGAATGGTTTTCTTAAGCAGCATTTGTGGCTCTATCTTATTGTACAACTCTTCCATCTGATTTTTCTATCTGCGCAGCAAGAGATACTGCAACTTGTTTGGCTTCTTTGAAGAAGTTAAACTATAACGTAGTTTGTATTTGTAACACGTACAATGAAATATATAGGGGACAGACAGACCTGATTTGTTCCTTGTTAGCTGAAGACAAAAGGCTAAATGGCTATGAAACACATAGAGACATTCCTCACTTTTTTCGTTTGACTTCCATGGCCCATGCTTTAGTTGTTTTTTTAGATATGTTTTTCTGTTTCTATTATCTTGATTATTCTGACCCTATCCTCTGCACAGAAAATTTGCAAGGAGGAGGGGAGGTAGAATGAGGAGAAAAGCTGAAAGCTTATTTTCAAGGAGGTAGAATGAGAAGGTTTTCTGGAATTAGAATTGCTTGTTCTATCCACCCATAAGAGGGAAGGAATTTAAGCTTAGGCTGAATTCCTAGGGACAGAAGTTAGGTTCAGTTTCATTAAAAACTTGAACTGCATTCTGAGGAATAATTAAATAGCGGAATTAGGGAATGAAATGAACATTATTCGACTGTCTGCTCCGAAAAGACTCATTATAAATAAAAGGTTGAACAGTGAGTTGGGTGAATGTGCTTGATGTGATTAATACATGAGTATAACTAAACACTACACCTAAACTTTTTGTGACGTTTCCGACCAGTGGGACCTCAAGTAATAATGAGGGAGGCCAAAATTAACCTCTAATGTAGCAGATTTGGTACTCTTTATAGGGAAGAGCTGTTTTGGACCCCAATCTTTAAAAGATTGGTGCACTGTTGGTTGAAGAGGATAAGGGGCAAACAGCTGAGATGATTGAAATGGGCGAGGAGATGATGCTCAATCTCAATGGTTCAGTCCCTTTCCTACAGTTAACACTTCAACATGCTACCACTAGTATTGTCGATTTCAGTAATAAATTCCTATAATCTGCTCTTACTTTATACATTAAACAGAAACATCTCAATAAGCAGTTTTAATGGGCGTTTGGACATAAGAATCATAAAATTTCAAAAAAAAAAGTGAAAAAAAAGTTTCAAATGAAAATGCTATTTGAAAATTAGAGTTTGTTTGGACATGAGTATAATTTTGGGTTGTTTTTTAAGTTTTGTGAGTGATCTAAATTTTGAAAAACAGCTTTTTGGAGTTTTTCAAATTTTTGAAAAATTCCAAAATGCAAGTGAAAATTAAAATTTTTACGAACAAACACTGATTTCGAAGAAAAGAAATTTTTTTCTTATGTCCAAACGGGCTCTTAGATCAGACCAAAGCCTAGCAGATGCAAACTCACGATATGTAGCTAGGCTTAATGACATCTCTATCCGTACTACACCTAACAAGATGAATCACAAAGTCGACGGCATGTACTATAGCGCAACTGACTAAAAAAGGCAATAAACAGCAGGAGATATTAATGCATAGATACTAGGGGCAATTTTTTTCAGAAATTTTAGAAGACCATTAATAGAAGTTTAGGTCGTTTTTGTTGGGCACATGCCCATGTTGTCCAGCCAAAGGTCCAATGGCCTAATCCTATTCTCTTTTGGTTTCCATTCTTATTCGTAATTGGATTCGATTTTTGTTCCTATTTAGAGTTGGTTTTGGCTTTAAGGGAAAGCACCACTCATGATCTATAAATAGGACAACCTTGAAGAATTATTCTATGCTCATTGATACAAGTCTTTGAAAGACTTAAGAACATAAGAGTGGTTTTTGAGGGAGCTTTCATCAAGAGAGAAGAAAAAAGAAAAGTATTTATTTTGCTGTAGATTTTTATTCCGACCAGCCAAATTCAGATCACGTTTTCCGATTTGTTAACCATTGGATCGGGCTGAAATTTTAACTGAGTGTTCATAACATCTTAATCTTGGATTTGAACGGTGGAGATCGGATTTGGAGGCTCTTAGCATCTGATTTCGAGCCTCAAACAGCAGCTTCATTTTTGTGAATTCTCCTCTTTCTTCAATTGATTTGTTGTTGCTCTTGTTACTATTGTTGCTCCGTGTTTGGAACTTGTTGTGTAGCCAATTTGAAGAACTTTTGTAACCCTCTTATTGTTATAGTGGAGCTTTTTGGATCTTTGTGATCTCGTGGTTTTTACCTTCGATCTGAAGGGTTTTCCACGTTAAAATTTGGTGTTCTTTACTTTCTTTATTTCCGGGTTTGCCTCTTTCTCGACATAACAGTGGTATCAGAGCCTTGGTTATTTATCCGGGTTGTTACGGAATGGAGGCGAAATGAGCAAGATGGTATGTTTAAATGGGAGAAATTATAATGTTTGGAGAAGCAAGATGAAAGACTTGTTGTTCGTGAAGAAGATGCATCTACCCGTTTTTCCAACTCATAAACCCAGAGTATATCCGATGAAGACTGGGATTTCGAGCACCAACAAGTATGTGGATATATACGACAATGGGTTGAAGACAATGTTCGCGATCATATTGTGAACGAGATACATGCGAGATCATTGTGGGAAAAGCTAGAGACTCTTTATGCTTCAAAAATCGGGAACAACAAAATGTTCCTGCTAAAGCAATTGATGACCTTCAATACAAGAAATTCAGCCCTATCCTTGATCACATAAATGATTTTCAGGGCGTCCTTGATCAACTGTCTGAAATGGGAGTTAATTTGATGATGAGATACAAGGACTTTGGCTTCATAATACTTTACCAGACTCTTGGTAAACTCTTCGTGTTTCTTTGACAAATTCAGCTCCCGGAGGTAAGGTGACCATGGAATATGCCAAGAGTGGTGTATTGAACGAGGAAGTAAGGAGAAAATCTCAGGGTTCGTCCTCACAAGCAGATATCTTGGTTATAGAAGACAGGGGAAGAGATAGAACAAGAGGCTCAAGAAATAGAGGTAAAAGTTGAAGTAAGTCAAGGTCCAAATACCATAATATTACATGCAACCAATGTGGCAAGAAAGGACATATCAAAAGATTTTGCTGCAAGCTGTTGCAAGACATTAGAGAAGGAAAGAAAGTTGAAAATAATGAGAACAATGTTGCTGCTAGTTCGAGATGACCTTCTTTTTGCTTATGATGAAAACTTCATCAATTTGGTATCCCATGAGACGAGATAGATAGTAGATTCTGGAGCTACCTCACATGTCACACCAAGAAAAGATTTTTTCTCATCTTATACTCCTGTTGATTCTGGAATGTTAAAGATGGGCAATGCCAGTGAAGTTAAGGTGTTTGGTGTTGGCGCAGTTTGTTTGAAAACTAATAATGATTCAACGTTAGTTCTTTAAGATGTCAAGCATGCTCCAGACTTTCCTTTCAATTTGATCTCCGCGGGAAGATTAAACAATGAAGATTACAATAATGCCCTCTTTAACGGCCAATGGAAGCTCACTAAGGGCTCGTTAGTAGTGGCTCGATGAGTCAAGTCTGGTCATTTATATGTGACACGTGGCTCTACTCTTAATGACTCAATAAATCTGGTGGAAAGTGATACTTTATCGGAATTGTGGCACAGAAGATTGAGCCATATGAGCGAGAGGGAGATTACTTGTTTGGCTAAGAAAAGTTTGCTTTGTGGAGTGAAACAAGCAAAGCTAAAAAGGTGTATCCATTGTTTAGTTGGCAAACAGAAAAGGGTTTCCTTTCATAGCCATCCTCCCTCAAGAAAGCCCGATTTATTGGAGCTAGTACACTTTGATTTATGTGGTCCTTTTAAAGTAAAGTCAAAAGGTGGTGCACTTTACTTTGTGACCTTCATTGATGATCATTCTCGTAAGCTCTGGGTGTATCCTTTAAAATCTAAAGATCAAGCACTTGGTGTGTTTAAGGAATTTCAGGCCTTAGCTGAGAGACAAATGGGGAAGAAATTAAAATGTACTCGCACTGACAATGGTGGTGAATATTGTGGTCCCTTTGATAACTATTGCAAGGAACAAGGAATTCGTCATCAGAAAACTCCGCCCAAGACGCCTAAATTGAATGGTTTGGCAGAGAGGATGAATAGAACTCTAGTTGAGAGAGTCAGATGCTTATTTCAGAGGCTAAACTTCCAAATACATTTTGGGCGGAAGCACTTAACACTGTTGCCTATGTTATCAATTTGTCTCCTGCTGTTGCTTTGGATGGTGATGTCCCAGACAGAGTTTGGTTTGCCAAAGATGTTTCTTATGATCACCTGAGAGTTTTTGGGTGTAAAGCTTGTGTGCATGTTCCTAAAGATGAGAGATCGAAACTGGATGTCAAAACCAAGCAGTGCATCTTTATCGGTTATGGTCAAGATGAGTTTGGATATCGTTTTTATGATCCAGGTGACAATAAACTTATTAGAAGTCGTGATGCAATATTCTTTGAAGACCAAAATATTGAAGATATTGACAAAGCTGAGAAGATAGATTCTCAGAGTAATAGAGCTTAGTTGATATTGATCTAGTTTCAATTGCTAAGGCACCTATTGCACATGAAGAAACTCAAGACAATGATGGAGATAGTGATCAAGATCAAAATGATATCATGGAGTAGATGTTATGGATGCTTCAGTTGATGAAGTTGTGGTTGATCAGCAACCAATTCCTGCACAGGTAACTACTTCGAATGCTCCTGAAACCTCTCTTAGAAGATCTACAAGGGAGAAGCAAAAATCCATGCGCTATCCTCCTGATGAGTATGTACTTTTGACTGACATGGGAGAACCTGAGAATTATGATGAAGCCATGCAAGATACTCACAAAGACCAGTTGATCGAAGCCATGGAAGATGAGATGAAGTCACTCCATGAGAATGGCACATATGAGTTTAGTGAAATTGCCGAAAGGTAAGAGAGCTTTATCTAACAAATGGATATTCAGTATAAAGCAAGATAACCATATCTCTGCGCCTAGATACAAGGCGAGGTTAGTTGTTAAAGATTTTGGCCAGAAGAAGGGAGTGGACTTTGATGAAATTTTCTCCCCTGTTGTGAAGATGTCTTCTATTCGTGTGGTTCTAGGCTTAGCTGCAAGTCTAGATTTAGAGGTTGAGCGGATGGATGTCAAGACTGCTTTTCTTCATGGTGATTAAGATGAGGAGATTTATATGGAGCAACCTAAGGGTTTTGTAACTAAGGGAAAACAAAATTATGTCTGCAAATTGAAAAAGAGCCTGTATGGATTGAAACAAGCTCCAAGGCAATGGTATTTGCAGTTTGAATCTGTCATAGAAGAACAAGGGTACAAGAAAACTTCTTCAGACCACTGTGTATTCTTCCAGAAGTTCTCCGATGATGATTTTATTATTTTATTGCTTTATGTGGATGACATGCTTATTGTTGGCAAGAATAAAGGCAGAATAGTTAAAGACCCCCTTGAACTTGTCGTTTTTTGGCGAGTTTACACCTTAACTATTCGACGTCCTAAGTACCCCTTCAACTTGGTGTTTTGAAAGTTATTAACTCCTTAGCTTGTTGGACCTTAGCATTGTCCATCCACGCGCAGTCCATATGAAATTTTCATCTGATGTGGCTGTAAACAGTGGCAAAATAAATTATTTTTT